CGTGTATAGAATAAATGGTGTCTACGAGAACAAGTGCCTATAAAGGTGCAAGACGGCGTACTAATAGCTGACCTATCTATTTTTCCTACTCTCGTTCATGGCTAGCTCCCTCTCCATTTCCTGTAGAGTCTCCGCCTCTTTCTTTTCCTGCTCTATTCTCTCCTTGTCGAGGCGCTCCTTTAGTTCTGCTGCCCTCCTAGCCTCCCGGCGCTCTCGTCCTCGAGTGACGATGGGCTTTGGTGCCAAATCAGCAAAGAGCTTTTTGCATATGACTTCGACAAGCCAGCATCCGATAAAGTCGGCAATCATAACGGAAGTCAATTTGATCTTAAACTACAGTAACATCCTGTTCAATATAGTATAGAAAGGAGTATAGAAATAACTAACCGGTGAAGCCATCTCAACAATCTGCAGGGGTCGATTGAGTTCCGGAATGAAATCTGTAGCGCCAGAAAAGGCGACTCCAGCGGCGCCTACTAATCCCCAGTAGAGTGCACTGTTTTCAGTGATGCCTTCGCGGAATGGACGTCCTTGGAAGTTGATAGCAAAAGTGGAGACCTGTTGCGAGAGGCCGAGCAGGTAGATTGCAGTGTTCAATAGACTCGGCTCAAATTTGGCTTCAAGGTCAATTGGGCCTTCTCGTCTGTACACATATTATTTTAGTTCAAGTCAGGTTGAAATTTTGATAAGTGGGACTAACGGTTCGAATATGTAAGATAGGTTGGTGATATACAGCAATGCTGCAATGTGGATAGCAAACTGGAAGAGCACCGATAACAGGACGTAGAAGTTGAAGATGTTGCCAAGAGGACGTTCCCGGGAGAGTTGTTCGATTGGCTAATTACAGAGAGTCAGATAGAAATTTACCCAGACGTGTTTTCCATTCACCTTTGCCCTTGAGATGCACAAGAAACAGACCGACATGAGCATACCCGTAATGGTCACTTGATAATCGCCGAATTTGATACCGTCCAGGTATTGTACACTCAAGCTATATGCGGTGATCAGGCAGTTGAGGGCTAGGATCTTATACATTTGAACGGTGGCAACAAGGGTGCAACGACCTTGACGAATGATATTCGAGACTTGAAATTTTTGTAAATAATTAGCAGGCCGATAAGTGAGAATACGTACTAGCGGAAACATTTGACAGTTTCGATGTGAATGGAGCAGCACAAGAAGCATCGCCAAGCTTAATCTTTGGTGGCTCGTTATCGTCTTCCATGTCTGCCAGTTTGTCTGTAATAGAGGCCATATCGAACTAAGCCAGTCGTAAGTACTCAAGCAAGTCTAAGTGAATTAATGAACAAACCTTCTCCAATGGGTTCTTTTTCCTAGCTATCGATTGGTCGGCCTTCGCTCTCTCTTGAGCGGTGACAAGCTCCGGATAATGAGCAGCCAGCATAGGTGGGACCGGAGGAGGCGGCTGGTTGAATCTCTGAGAGAACTTCAATTGCGTCTCGTATACACCTTTGACCCTTTCAATTCTTGCGTGCTCCGCAATCTTTTGCAAGTCTTCGATGGAACCATCCAATAAAGCCACGCCAATATGTGCCTGTTTAAGCGCACCAACGTCATTGGTGCCATCACCGGCCATGAGCGTAACGTATCCAAGGGACTTGAGTGTGGTAAGGATAACTTCCTTCTGAGACGGCGAGACTCGTGCATACACCCAGGTATTCTGTACAAGGGTCTCATATGACGCGGGATGGACTCCTTCGTATTGTCGGAGCGCAGCACCGGTCACACAAATGTCATACTCGTCGAACAGCTTGGTGTTGATAGGCTGAGATGGATCAACAGGTATCATGATCTTATCGTCCACAGAACGCCAAACAAGATCTTTGAGATTGAATTAGCTGGATTTTACTCTAATTTTCTGAGACATACCGCCTTCATGCGCGGGATTCTCCCGCAAGTCCAAAATAAGTGCGTCACGATCCACAATTTCGACCTCCTTGGCGACATGAACGGCAGTGAGTGGGTTATCACCAGTAATCATCACACACTATTATCCAGGTGAGCATATTGTCAATGTCAAAACAGTGAACCCAGACTTACTCGATGAGAACTATCAGCCAACATCTTCAGAGTTTCAATGGCGTCTGGCTTGAGCGGGCAATGGAATATCAAAAATCCAGCGAAGATCAAGTTGCTTTCGACATCATCGCGTTGAAGATGATTGAGCTATAATACGTTAGTAAATTTTGTTATATTAGGTGATCCAGAAGGAAGATGGTCTAAAAGCCGACTGACTTTATCCGATCCCAATGTACCAAGGTCCTTCCAAGCCAATGCAAGTACTCGGCTGCCCCGGCGGGTATACCACTTGTAGGTGTCGTCATACCATTGAGGAATAGTTCCAGGTGTAAGGAAAGCTTTAATGGTCTCGGGAGCACCTTTCACCGAAGCCTGATAAAATCAATCAATATAGGCTGGGTGAGATGTTTCAAATACCTACCACACACTTTCCACCCTTGCCAATAGAAGAGACGGTGCTCATTCGCTTCAAAGCGGAACTGAACTGGAATCGCCTGCGAATAAACAAGCTTATTGGCGATCTTCCATCATGGGTACGGCCATAAGATGGCTCCACAACATCACTGGATCTAAGCTGCCATCCAAGAGCCTCCAAGGTTGTCTTCTCCATCGGATCGCCAACAACAGTGTTATCGCCTGATTTCTTCGCTTTGGTATCCGAGTTCGCGATATCTTCGTCAAGTTTCACCAGGGCATGAGCAGTAGCTAGGACGTGCAGTGTCTGTGGGTTGACAGCTTTGACGTCAATCATCTCGCGAGGATTTTGTGGGCTGTTGATGTAAATATCGTCCCAGTAAGTGACATTGAACCTTGACCTTTGTGGATGACTTACTTGACTCCAGCAACTCCTTCCAGAACCAAGCTTTCAGCGGTAATCGTTCCAGTCTTGTCAAAGCAGCAGACATCAACCCGACCGGCGTAGGGAATACGGAAAGGCTCGGTACAGAATATCGCTGAGGAGGATTAGCTGATACCTAGGCAAAATTACCCTAGACGTACCGAATTTAGAAAGTGCGGCGAGACTGGTGTTTACGGCCAGACTTAGCTCCATTGGTAATTCTGGGGGTACGACTGATGTGACGATGAGGACACAGTCGAGCAGCAACTTTGACTTTTTGAGGCCACGCTCGATTCCTGTTGAAGAATTTCAGTAATAATATAATTGGTAGGTATTTGAGTAATTACCCATGATCCATACGTATGCACTAGCGGCAATGGCAAAGATAAGCAAAAAGCCGATGAACAAGAAGCTCTCTAGATTATTTGCTGAGACTCTGTCCGTAGAGAAAATCATTGTTCTAACGAGCTGTCCTTGAGACGTTCCAAAAGATGTGCGAAGAACCGTACAAAGAGCACCACCATCTGGTGTGATCGGGAGGGGTGACTTCATTGGGGTTGCTGCACGAGAAGGTTCAGCAGAGCCATTCGATTGAGCAACTGCTGATGCAGCCGTCACTTGCAAAGGCTTGGTTCCACTGAAAAGGACGCTGTTCTTATGTATTCCGCCGTCATCGATAGATAGCTTGGTGTTTGAATCTTGTAATTCGATTGACTCTTTGAGAAGCGGGGTCGATTCACCTGACAGCATGGCTTCATTGACGATCACAGTTCCTTGAAGAAGAAGTAAATCCGCAGGAATGGACTGATCCGCCGAAGGACGAGCTACAAATAGACCTGTCAGTACCTTGTGTGTGTAAAATTCGGTTGAGGACGGGTTCTCACCTACGCTGACAACATCACCGGGAATAAGCTCATCTGTACGACAAGTTGACCATTTGCCACTCCTATAAACCTGAATGTCGTATGGAACAACCGACATAGTGCGGAATTCTCTCAAGGTTCGGAGTCGCTGCCAAACAACCGTGCATTCGAACATGACGAGCATGAACAATGTGAAGATACTTTAAAGAGCGCTCAGCAATTCGACTATTGAGCTACGTTGTGAAGATAGAGACGTACGAGTAATACCAATATTCGTCCAGACACCATAAAGCCACACAAAATATCTGAAAGACGAAGAATGGTGCCACAGCGTGCTCCGCAAAGAGTGCAGTAAAGCTGGGGATAGGTATGTCAAACTCGTTCTTGCCGTATAAGGTAGTCATCTTTTCAACATCTTGGCTAGTTATCCCAATGGTCTTGGCTCCCTTGTTTGGCGTATTAAATGTTGATAGAGGTGGTTTAGAATCGGATGGATAAGATATTGGCGCGAAGGTATTATCCTGTGGGTTGTAGAGATACGTGTCGGATTGATACTTGAACGTGAAACTATCCTTGTCGTTTTTGTCCCTTCGCGTGATTGGTACAATATCCCCTTTGCCACTATAGGGTGCTGCTACAAGGCGAATATGCGAGGCTTCGTGTACAGTTTTAGCCTACCGGCAGAGTTTTCGTCAGCAACTAGTGAAAGCAAAACGACGCCCGGCCACCACTTTGACATACATTACGATAAGTCAAATATGCCCTCATTCCTAAACTCCAGCGCGTGACGAGAAAGCTTAGAGCGTGTCCTGCTCCCAGGCATGTACACGCCAGAAACGTCCACTCCTCACTTTGTAACCAGTCGTCATACTTTACATAGTATGCGTACGCAAGGAGTGGATACAAAGAAAGAAATGGTAACGCATATGGATGTAACAATTTTGAGTACGTTATGTGGAGGGATGCATGTATAATCTCGGGACTCTTGACAGTTATTGGAGCCCTGTAGATAAAAAGAACAAAATATAGTCAGCATAAATATCACTTGAATGTTTTGAGGGATGAACGGACATAGCTGGACAAGACAGCTGGCTCTAGGAGTCTTCCAAGATTTGGACCTTGCCGACCACCACATCGGGTAACACTCCGGAATCTAATGGCATATGGATTTCACATCATGGACAGGATTTATATTCTCGAGATGAGACTATGAGAGCAATTTCCTGACATAATACCAAGGTATATCAACTCCAAAAGGTTGATTTTCAGGCCGCGGATTATGTAGTCCAGTGCAACGAGTAGATAGCTGATCATTCTATTGAGTGCGTTATGTTGCTATTCACCTTTGTTAGTCGTCAAAGCAATCGTATCAAAGCGTTCTGAGCCAGTATAACATCCATAAGAAAACTACGTCAAGACTCCGACTATTCTCAATTGGCTCAGTTCATGTCCTTGGCCTGAATTCTGCACCCAACATATGCCGCACTTACACGACAAACTCTGAATATAAGATGCAAAACGCTCACGAAGAGGTTAAAAAACTGCTTCGTGCATCAGAGAAGGTGACACTTGTCATTGATACCAACCCTGGCTCAGCAAGTACTGGCTCAACAACAAGTCCCACGCGAAACAACTTCTTACGGCCCACAAGACGTGTCATAGCCGTTGTAATACATGAAGAGCAGGATGGACAGATTGGAGCGTAGGTTATTGATCATCTCCATACACCCAGCAAAGACAACCAACATAGCTCTCTAAAATTACCACAGACTCTTTATTTTCAAATGGACTAAATCGGAACCGCCATCTCTAGTTCTCGTTGCCACTTTGGCTATTGGCCCTGACTTCGAAATAAACCTGGCCCAGGTTTCGTCGAGTGCGCTTGGCGTTCCAGCCCAGCCAGATGCTACAATCACTACAAAGCGACCAGGTAAGTCGGGTAAATTACGACATTATGATAACTTACCCGTCATAGACTGCTTGGTAGATGTTCACTCTGAGGGCGAAGAATTGTCCTTCATGTGTCCAGAAGCTGAGGCGGTTGCACTGAGGGAAGAGTGTAGTCGTTTCAAGCTTCCTCAAGGTATGAAATATGTGACTGTTCACGATGGGATCCTTATAGGTTGCAGCGACAGAGCAAGATCCCCCTCAGGCGACTCACAGCTGGATGGCAGCATACTCGCCCAGTACCGTTGATCGTAGGAGTATGTTCTTATTATTTTTCTCGGATTGTGTGCTTACAGCTTTTCCAGTAATTTCACAACTTATGCGTCCTCCAGGTACTCGTTAAATATAGTGCCAAACTATTGTACTGACCTATCAAAAGATCTTCGCCGCTTACACCATGGGCCTTCCCTTTCCTCAGCCTTTGCCGGAGTGCCTGGTGATGAGGACGCGGACGCTGTCTTGATTCGAGACGACTGGGTCCTTAAACGGGTTCGAGAGAGGAAGGACGAATATGCATCGACACACTCAATCAGGTACTAACATATTTCATCCCAATACCACTTTCGTCCACTGAATCTGCTTTGAAGAATTCGTGTTGGTACATTCAATGTTAACGGGCAGAATCCTCATGCGTCTATTCGATCCTGGATAAATGGGCACGACGAGCCTTCTGAACGTCTATCTCTTGATGGAAATACCGATCCGGACATATTCATATTTGGATTTCAAGAGCTAGATCTTAGCACTGGAGCTTTGCTATATAGTACATCAAACTTGTTGGAAATCGCTTGGACAGATGCAATTATAGCCGCATTGGGCCAAAAAGCCATCCTATACACCAAGGTCGTCGTTTCACATCTGATATTTATCGTCTATTTACATTTACGAAGTTTGCTTCTCGTCAACTGGTCGGAATGCTCATCCTCGGATTCGCTAAAAAAGGGCAGCGACCTCATATAGGAGAGATCACCACTAGCTCACTTGGTGTAGGACTCATGGGTCTCATGGTAATCTATAGTCTCTTAGGTGGCCTATGAATTGATGGCAAATTTAGGGAAATAAAGGCGCTGTCGGCTTGCGGTTCAAATTCCGTAACACCTACATATGCTTTGTGGCATCTCATTTAGCTGCGGGAGATGGATTCCTGGAAAGAAGAAACGCCGATTACCTGGACATCTGTCATCGTCTGCAGTTTCCCCTTAATCCTGCGACACCGGCAGAAGCTACCGACGAAGCTCGTGCTATCTCATGCTCTATATTTGAGAGCGATGTCCTAATTTGGCTAGTGAGTCTGTCATTTACTAGCTACATGCAGGACTGACTTTCAATTTAGGGAGGTGACCCTAAGTCTCCATAAGTGAATACTTACTGACATTGCCCAAGATCTCAATTATCGAATAGATATTCCATTAGAAGAAGTAGTGACGCTTAAACGGTCTCCACTCAAGCCTTATAACCGATCAACATTGCTCAAATTCGATGAGGTATGTTTCTCTCAAGCCTTGAGTCAGGGACCAATGTTAACAAACTGTCTAAGCTCCTTACTTCCAAGCGAAATGGAAGAATATTCGAAATATTTGAAGAGCAAGACGTAACCTTCGATCCGTAAGTCTTTCAATATCCATTGAGTGTCCGTATAACGTCCATTTCAGGACCTATCGATACTTTATAAACACCAAAAACTTTGACTTAAGGTAGGCCCTATTATACTGATCCCAACATTCGTGCGCTTACTCACATCTCTATAGACGCAGACCAGCATGGACAGACCGCATTTTATATAGCGCGTATCCTTTTGCTTCAATTCAGCAACTCTCTTATCAAAGCCACCCCGACGTCACATTGAGCGACCACAGACCGGTTTCGGCAGACTTCCTAGTACAGGTGAGCATTGTGATGATCCATGGACACGCACTGAAGGAATGAAAAGGTCAATAGTGTAGATCCGGAACTACATACACGAACAGTCGTCAATACTCTAAGACAGATTAAGGACTATAATACTCAGTCCAGGGCCTCATCAAAGCTTCAGCTATCGACAAAGCAGATTAATTTAGGGGATATAAGGCCAGTATTGATTATAGAATCAAGACGATATCTAATCATCGTTTAGATATCTGGAGAAATATGAGGAGAGTTTCAAAATCACAAATACCGGAACGCAACCTTGTGTTTTCCGCTTCATTCCTCAGCACGAAGGAAACTCACCATGTTAGTGTCCAGCCAAGCTCGGCATACGTAATTAACCCATACAAAGGTCCTCCATGGTTAACCATAGACACGACATATGTTAGTGTGACAATTTAACCAGCGCCCTATCGCTCACAGTCGACGAAATACAGGCACTATTATTACCTAACGAGACGATGACCGTTTCATTGGAAGCAGTTGTCAAAGATTCAATTGCTGAGAAGTTCCAGTCCGAGAGCACTCTCGAAACAACTTTGATCATCCACGTAGAGCACGGCTTGGACTATTTCGTCGCTGTGACAGCACACTTCAGTATGTGTAATCTCAACTAAATAGTCCGTGTCATCTATTAACAAAGCCACTTAGTGCCGACTTGCTTTGTAAGGACCATCGACTCGCTTGTTCGCCTACCCAAGTCAGCACGGGCCAGCGGAGATCTTCCTGCACTCGCAGAGTCTCGGGCATCGACCATTCCAAAAGAGTTCATGCGCATCATCGACTGGCTGATGGGTCACCCATTGAATGAGATAGCAAGCACCTTATTCATGTCCCATTCCGACCCAAAGCTGCTCTATCAAATTCGAGAGGTCAGCCATCCTTAACTTGTCTCTAAAGTAGCATCTAAATGGTGGTATTCATGAATGAAAAGGCTCTAGATACAGGAGATCCATTCCCTTTCGAGAAAGAGCCGGAATGGAAAGAAGGCGAAATAACCTTGGCATTTGGAGAGACACTTGTGCACTTTTTGCGATCCCTCCCCGAGCCACTAGTACCTCTCGAGGCCCATCCCTTGATTGCCGACGTACTTATGGAAGACAATACAGAGGTAAGGCAAATTAAAACCCCGTGCCAAAGGCTAACCAGCTTTGCCAGTTCCTCGACAAGTTGCCCCATAGCTCTGTCAACGTAAGTCGTCCTTCAAACTCCATTCTAATAAAATTGTTAATAGTCCCTTGTAGGTTTGGATCACGCTGTTCGCCTTCCTTCAATTTGCCTGCATCCAGTCATCGGTGAATGCGTCCTCAGAGGAGGAAGCGGATAGAATCGGTATGGTTTGCACTAAAAGATTCAAAGTCTCCCTACTGATCTTTTCTAGCTTCTGTTTTCGCTCCAATACTCCTCCGTGGGTCGGTACAGACCGAGACGGGCGTTTTATTGACACCCCTCAAGAAACGGGGGTTCATCACCCGTTTCCTAATGATGTGAATGAATATGGACACTAGGATTTCTCTTTGGACTCGGTCGGAGGTTCAGCTTGTCGGTGCATGTCTATATACTTTTTCAACCTTTCTTTCTGTGCCGGAATTGAGCGCCCTTGTACTTGCATGACAGTGACGACCACCATCTTGAATGCCATTAATACCTCATACAAATGAAATAAAATGAACCGACATACCACTGCTCCGAGCAAGTAGACAATGGATAGATCCGACTTCCACCATTTCCCAGCAGATGCTTCTGCATCCATAGCGCGTTGACGACGCGCCCTGTCCTGAGACGACTGTCCCATACGCGACCACTTGGCTAGTCGTTCTTTAATCTCTTCCGCTTCCTTATCGAGGGACGTCCCATCGGATGATCTCGCTCGGTAATCTGGGTCGAGTTGTAGGAGAGCGTTGTAGGCTTGAGTGATGGCGTGGAACCTCGCTTCTGCCTGTTCAACAGTTATGCCTTGCGACTGTGCGGTATCTGGGTGGTAAATCCGAACGAGCTCAAAGTCTGGCGATACACGCACATGGGAAATTTTTGTCAAAAAATTTGATGGTTAGTAAGGAACGACGGATATAACGGGTCACTCACATCGTTTCTTGATATCAGCACCAGATGCATCTGGAGAAAGATGAAATATATCATGGGCCGTCGGATTGG